TGGTAATTTTTTACATTAGTTGACATTGGAATTGAGACATGAAGTTTAGTCAGGTAGGTAGTACTCACCAAGTGAAGTAGTGTAGTAGTATTTACTAGAATTTTGTTTATTATTTGTTTAAAAATGAATGTGAGTGAGATACAGGCCCTTAAAGTTTTCTTAATCGGAGGAAATACCGGTAGGTACGGCCCTGGCTTCAGCCTTCCGTCAGCTGTTCCCGCCAAACATCGTTTGTCCTAAAACATATCTTCCTAACATTATTCTAATGTATCAGCCCGCCTTCGGCGGGCAGGGGCATTAAACAAACTCGAGTCTGTCATACATCTACCTAACTAAACAATGACGTCATCAATGCATATTTGGCGAGAACAGCTGACGAAGGGCTGCAGCCAGGGCCGTACCAATCGAAATTTCCTCCGATTAAATAACTTTAGGAGCCTGTATCTCAAGCTACATTGGTTTCCGCACGGAATTAATGCTACCACACGATTCTACTTGGTCAGTACTACCTACCTGACTAAACTTCATGTCTCAATTCCAATGTCAACTAATGTAAAAAATTACCCAATTGTCTTCAATTTAAGCAATTAGTTAAATTTAAGATGAAATTTGTTTCAATTATTTTGTACTTACATTTTTTTTATATACACTTAATGTGGGTCAGACTTCATCTGACTATTTTAATTAGGAAATATATTTAATGTCCTCAATTCCTAAAGGACCCATCAACTTATAACTCCTCGAATGCACCCCTCTCTTGTAAAATCGCCTGTTAAATAATCAATCTTTAACTAATAATTAAGTCTTATTAGTTAAATAAAAGGAACACAAATACATTCTTCCATACATTGTCAAAATTTACTAATTCTAGGTTATGTTCACGATTTCGGTTACTGTGAACTACTACAACCATAGATAATAGACTACAACGTACAAGAGAACTACCACATAACAAAATTCATTAATTTTTTTCCCTCTATACTTTTGTCGCCAATTATTGACTAATTATTACTAACTTATTAATATACTAAACATAACACTTACAGTTATAAATTAACTTATTAAATCACAACATACAATTTTCTACCTGTAGTTCATTTTCGAAGAACTAGATTTTTTTGCTCTATGTGTTAGTCATAGATAATGTATTTGTTATCAACGCAGTTAACCAAAAATAGTTTTAACTTCAAAATTTGTCGAAAATAGAAGTCAATAATATATTAATTATAATTTACATTACATTTATATAATTTTAATATGGCTACAATTGTGAGAATAAAACGTAGTTTGCACGAAGAACCTCTCGATGCTGTGGTTATCAATTGCAAAAAGAGAAAAGTCGAAGTTCCAAATGAAAATGAGCAAACTGCAGTTTTCAGGTTTATTGGAACAACTAAAACGCAGGTAAAATTAACTACATATTATCAGTATAATATTTTGATATTTTTAATGTACAGGAGGAAGATGTTTCCAAGCATATCAAGCCCACAAAAACTGTGGAAGAGAAGTATAAAAGGCACGTTTTTAATATTACAGAAAAATTAAGACAACAAGCAGTTAGTGCTTCTAAAAACAGCAGGTATAAAATTATAAACTGCCAGAGATTGAAAAATGAAAATACTTCAACGAGTAGTTTGGTGAATGAAGAACTGCATTTTACTATTTATGATATTGAAAATGAAAAGGAGATCAACAATTCCTCAGAAACTAATTCAGATTCATACCTTTATGATTTGTATTATGCCCACTGGGCTGAATTTCAAAAAGATGTAGAAGACAATGAGTTAATAAGGTAGTATTTTCTTTATTTTATTTTAAATTTTTATAATAAATGTATAATTTTGTTGCCTTTTCAGTGTATATCCATTAAGTGATCAACTGATATATGGTTCATATAGAGACAATGGAATAAATGAAAGAGATACAGATGAAAGTGAGGATTCTAATGATGAAAATAATTGGAGGAATGATTATCCCGATGAATCTGATATGGAAAGTGTTACAGAAGATGATATGTTAAATGCAGTAAATAAGATTAGTTTAGATCATGAAAATAGTTTGTCAAGTGATGATGATGATGATGACATTTATAATGATGATAACGTAGAAAACACACAAATTGATACAGATGATGCTAACAGGTATGGAAAAATGTATGCTAGATTCAANATAATACAATGAAAATACATTTATTATTTAGAAATATAATAAATGTAAATTATATTTCTAAATAATAAATGTATTTTTATAGTATTATTTGAAATACTTATCTGTTAATGTTCATACGTTGTGTTTATTATAAATGCTACTAATTTGCAACAATAAATGTATTATTGAGCAAACCTTATTTTATTTAATTACAATATATAATAAAATTGCTAAATAAACCTCGTTTTGATATAAACAGCGTTTTACTTATTAAAAATAACACTAAGACATCCTTTGAGAAATTTAATTTATAGTTATAATACTGGAAATGAACATAAACTATGACAGTAATAGTACAATTAAACGTTTCAAGGCCGAACAATGTAGAAAAACGAAAAGCTAGACTGCGATATAGTTGATCGCGCGCTAAAAATCGGTAGGTACTTCTAAAAAGAGCTTTTGCGACTTATGCTCTCCTAATACAAATTTTCAGATTTAACAAATTTTTCAGTTTTGCGACATATACGAGGGGCGGTCGAAAAGTTATGGAACAAAATTTCAAAATACGATTTTTGATTTTTCCATTACTTTCCGACCAACCTTCGTATTTGGTTTAAAGCCGAAAATTTTCATAAATTCGAACATTTGTATCAGGAGAGCATAAGTTGCATCGGATCTTTTCCATTACTTTCTGACCGACCCTCGTATTTGGCTCAAAACCGAAAATTTTCATTAATTCCAACATTTGTATTAGGAGAGCATAAGTTGAATCGGATCTTTTTCCAAGTTCAGAATTAAAGCGCGGTATTAACTTCGCCTTTCTTACAAATAGTTCAGCTCCTGAGCATATGATGGCTCTGGTAATTTTCAAAAATTGACACAATTTCTTTTCTTTTTACAGTATTTGTGCTATTTTATTCTTTACTGTTGTTCAAGTCTGAGGACAAAATTAAAAACACATACTTTATTTATTTATTTATTTAGATAATAAAGAATAATAGTACAATGAAAATACATATATTATTTAGAAATATAATTTACATTTATTATAACAAAGTACAAATTTATTTTAAATAACAACAATACATCAATATAAACAAAATATCTAAGATATAATACATTCTAACGACTTATAAAAGTTAAAAATAAAATACCTGTAAGAGAGACAAGAAAATCAATATAAAATTTCAAAGAAAATACAATTA